GGTGATTGAAAATTACCTAATCACATTCTAAATCTATATTAATGTATGTTAAAATAAGATTCATAATACATGGGCATTATTTTTAATATTTTAGTGATCAATTTAATAAAATATCAGATTTCACATAATTCAGTGACCTAATTTGATAAAATCTGTTTTTAAGAGAAACAAGATAACTAAGGTCTCAGACCTCTTTAAATCNATCTATATTAATGTATGTTAAAATAAGATTCATAATACATGGGCATTATTTTTAATATTTTAGTGATCAATTTAATAAAATATCAGATTTCACATAATTCAGTGACCTAATTTGATAAAATCTGTTTTTAAGAGAAACAAGATAACTAAGGTCTCAGACCTCTTTAAATCTTCATCATATGCTAGTGCGTGATTATGTTTTGCATTAAAATAAAATTTCATATTTTCTAATTTAATATATAAAATGATCATGTTTTTACAATAAACTATATATATTTGATTCTAGCCTCTTTAACATTGTTTTAAAAATAACTAACCACAAGATAAGTTTATATTAATATATACTAACATATTTTAATTGTATATGGATATCATTTTTGATTTCCAACAAGTAATTTATTTAAATTTCATATACCATTAAACAGTGGACTAACCCCTATCAAATCTCTTTTTTTTTTTCTGGAGAAACGAAAACACCTAAGGTGTCAAACATTTTTTTTATTCACACTATGTCATTTTATGATGCAACTAAGCATTAAAACAAAAATATAATTTTTTTAATTTTTTTTGAAATATGTGGGCTAACCCCTACGAAATGTCGAATTTTCCGATAAATGTTAAACTATGAAGTTTAGGGTTTTTGTTGTTGTTTTAAAAATACCTAATCACATTATAAATTTATAGTAATGTATGTTAAAATAATATTAGTGGTCTATGGGCATCATTTCTATTTTTCAGACGAGTAATTTATTTAAGCTTCGTTTACCACTTAATCATTAGACTAACCCTTATCAAATCTTTGTTTTTTGGAGAAACGGAAACACCTAAGGTCTCAAACCTCTTTAATTTTAAAACTATGTCATTGAGTGATGCAAATATGCATTTAAACTAAAATATCAAGTTTTCTATTTTTTCTTGAAATATGTGGGTTAACCCCTACAAAAATTTCTAGTTTTCCGATAAATGCAATATTCGGAAGTTTAAACTCCTTAGTGTTGATTGAAAATTACCTAATCACATTCTAAATCTATATTAAAATAAGATTCATAATACATGGGCATTATTTTTAATATTTTAGTGATTAATTTAATAAAATATCATATTTCACATAATTCAGTGACCTAATTTGATAAAATCTGTTTTTAAGAGAAACAAGATAACTAAGGTATCAGACCTCTTTAAATCTTCATCATATGTTAGTGCTTGATTATGTTATGCATTAAAATAAAATATCATATTTTCTAATTTAATATACAAAATAATCATGTTTTTACAATAAACTATATATATATATATATATATATATATATATATATATATATATATATATATATATATATATATTAGAATCTAGCCTCTTTAACATTGTTTTAAAAATAACTAACCACAAGCTAAATTTATATTAATATATACTAACATATTTTAATTGTATATGGATGTCATTTTTGATTTCGAACAAGTAATTTATTTAAATTTCATATACCATTAAACATTGGATTAACCCCTATCAAATCTCTGTTTTCTGGAGAAACAAAAACACCTAAGGTGTCAAAAAAATTTTATCTTTACACTATGTGATTTTATGATGCATCTAAGCATTAAAACAAAAATATATGTTTTCTATTTTTTTTTTTGAAAATGTGGGCTAACCCCTACGAAAGGTCAAATTTTCTGATAAATGCTAAATTATGAAGTTTAGGCTTTTTATTTTTGTTTTAAAATACCTAATCACATTATAAATTTATAGTAATGTATGTTAAAATAAATTTATGGTAGATGAGCATCATTTCTATTTTTCAGACAAGTAATTTATTTAAGCTTCATTTACAATTTAATCATTGGACTAACCCTTATCAAATCTCTGTTTTTGGAGAAACGGAAACACCTAAAGACTTAAACCTCTTTAATTTTAATATTATGTCATTGCATGAAGCAGATATCCATTAAAACTAGAATACCAAATTTTCTATTTTTTTTAAATATGTGAGTTAACCCCTAAGAAAATTTCTAGTTTTCCGATAAATGCAATATTCTGAAGTTTAGACTCTTTAGTGTTGATTAAAAATTACCTAATCACAGTCTAAAACTATATTAATGTATGTTAAAAAGAAGATTCATAATATATGGGCATTATTTTTAATATTTTAGTGAGAAAATTAATAAAATATCATATTTCACATAATTCAGTGACTTAGTTTGATAAAATCTGATTTTAAGAGAAACATGACAACTAAGGTCCCATACCTATTTAATCTTCATCATATGTTAGTGCTTGATTATTTTATGCATTAAAAAAAATTTCATATACCATTAAACAGTGGATTAACCTCTATCAAATCTCTATTTTCTGGAGAAACGAAAACACGTAAGATCTCAAACATTTTTAATTTTCACACTATGTCATTGTATGATGCATCTAAGCATTAAAACAAAAATACCATTTTTTCTATTTTTAAAAAAAATATGTGGGATAACCCTATGAAAAGATCGACTTTTCTGATATATGTTAAATTATGAAGTTTAGGCTTTTTATTGTTGTTTTAAAAATACCTAATCACATTATAAATTTATAGTAATGTATGTTAAAAATATTCGTGGTCTATGGGCATCATTTCTATTTTTCAGACGAGTAATTTATTTAAGCTTCATCATTAAACTAACCCTTATCAAATCTTTGGTTTTTGGAGAAACGGAAACACCTAAGGTATCAAACCTCTTTAATTTTCAAACTATGGCATTGCATGATGCAGATTTACATTAAAACTAAAATATCAAATTTTCTAATTTTTCTTGAAATATGTGGGTTAAACCCTACGAAAATTTCTAGTTTTCCGATAAATGCAATATTCTGAAGTTTAGACTCTTTAGTGTTGATTGAAAATTACCTAATCACATTCTAAATGTATATTAATATATGTTTAAAAGATTCATAATACATGGGCATGCTTTCAAAATTTTAGTGAGTAATTTAATAAAATTTCATATTTCACATAATTCTCTGACCTAATTTGATAAAATCTGTGTTTTTTTTTCTCTGGGAGAAACGGGACAACCAAGGTCCCAGACTTCTTTCCTCATCATATGTTGGTGCGTGATTAAATTATGTATTAAAAAATACCATATTTTTTGATTTAATATATCAAATGATTATAATTTCCAATAAACTATATATATTAGAATTTAGCCTCTTTAATATTGTTTTAACAATAAATAACCACAATGTAAATTTATATTAATGTATACTAATCATATTTTAATTTTAGATGGACATCATTTTTAGATTTACAAAGAGTATTTTATTTAAACTTCATATACCATTAAATAGTGGACTAACCTCTATCATATCTCTGTTTTCTGGAGAACGGAAACACCTAAGGTCTCAATCATTTTTAATCTTCACACTATGTCATTTTATGATGCAGATAAGCATTAAAACAAAAATACCATATTTTCTAAAAAACAATTTCAAATATGTGGGCTAACACCTACCAAAAAGATTGACTTTTCCGATATATGTTATGAAGTTTAGGCTCTTTAGTGTTGTTTTAAAAATAGATAATCACATTCTAAATTTATATTAATGTATGTTAAAAAATAATTTGTGGTAAATGAACATAATTTCTAATTTTCCAGTGAGTAATTTAGTTAAACTCCATCTACCCATTAATCAGTGGATTAATCCCTATCAAATCTCTGTTTTCTAGAGAAACGGAAACACGTAAAGTCCCAAACCTCTTTAATCTTAATACTATGTCATTCCATGATACATCTATGCATTCAAAAAAATACCATATCTTTATTTTCTTCTTGAAATATGTAGATTTATCCTTATAAAAAGATCGAATTTTCCGATAAATGATATATTATTAAGTTTAGGCTATTTATTGTTGTTTTAAAAATACAAAATCACATTGTAAATTTATAGAAAGGTATGTTAAATGATTTTCATGGTAAATGAGCATCATTTCTAATTTTCTAATGTGTAATTTATTTAAACTTCATTTACCCCTTAATTAGTGGATTAACTCATATCAAATCTTTGTTTTCTGGAGTAAGGGAAACACCTAAACTCTCAAATCTCTTTAACCTTCATACTATGTCATCGCATGATGCAGCTATGCATTAAAAAAAACCCATATATTCTAATTTTTCTTGAAATATGTTTGTTAACCCCTACGAAAAAATCAAATTATTTTTCCAATAAATGTTATTTGTACTTAAGTTTAGTCTCATTAAAGTTTTTTTTTTAAATATCTAACCACGTTAAAAATTCATTTTCATGGTACATCGACAACATTTATAATTTTCCGATGAGTAATTTAATAAATCTTTATATACCACCACGTAAACCAAAGAATTAAATCCTATGAAATTTATATATTCATGAGAAATTAGGACAACAAAGATGTTAGATATCTTTGACCTTCATCCTATATATGCGATGGATGTATCTATGCAGTAAAATAAAAATACCATATTTTCTAATTTTCTTTTTTGAAACATTTTTTTTTTTGAAACACTCCATATTTTCTAATTTTCTTGAAATTTATGGGTTAATATTACGATAGATATTAAGATAGAACTTTGGGTAAAAATGACCAACATGAAGAATGGGCCTATCAGCTAAAGCCTTGTACTTTAAACAGATTATATGGATGTTGGGATACACACAACAATGGACCAAACCCAATAATAGTTAATTTTATCCATTTCATAAAACCCATTTGCACAAATCTTATTATCTACTTGAAATCTTCAGATTGTTCTTATACCCTCTTTTTTGGTTCGTAAAATAAAAAGTGATAACTTTGAAAAAAAAAAATTCTCCAACTTTTGATTTGGGTTGAAGACGACAAGAGTTGAACTTGTACCTGGGGACAAGCTTGTCTTCACTCTCACGCTCAACTTTTTTGTGTTCCATAGAATCTATAAATCTCCCACTCTCTCTTTCTCCTCCTCAAACACAAAAACAAAACAAAACATAGTTTAAAAATGGAGAAGAAGAGTCTTAAACCGGGTCGGGTCGTTGAAAAACCCACAAACCCGATGGTGACACCACTCCTCAACGATCTTTACCAATTCACTATGGCTTATGCTTACTGGAAAGCCGGCAAACAATCCGAACGCTCCGTGTCAGTCTCTCTAAATCTCAAAATCTCAATTCTTTAAGTCAAAAGTCTGAAACTTTATTCAAATTCTCAGGTTTGATTTGTATTTTCGCAAAAACCCATTTGGTGGAGAGTACACAATCTTCGCTGGGTTAGAAGAATGCATCAAGTTTTTAGCTAATTTCAAGTTAACTGATGAAGAGATTGATTTTGTTCGTGACTCGTTACCTGGCTGTGAGGTAATAAAACAAACAAAGACTTAAAACTTTTTAATGTTTTATTACAATAGTTTTGATTTGAGTATTGAAAGCAGGAAGCTTTTTGTGATTATCTTCGTGGGCTTGATTGTTCCGACATTGAAGTGTATGCTGTGTCTGAAGGTTCTGTTGTGTTTCCTAAAGTGCCTTTGCTTAGGATTGAAGGTCCTGTTGCTGTGAGTTGTTTTTTTTTAATCTTTCATTAGCTTTTGAATTGATTTGATTGGTTTTAGGTTTATTTTGTTATTTGTTGGTTAGGTTGTGCAATTGTTGGAGACTCCGTTTCTTAATCTTATCAATTATGCGTCTTTGGTTGCTACTAATGCTGCAAGGCATCGGTTTGTTGCTGGCAAATCTAAGCTTCTGCTTGAGTTTGGTGCTAGAAGAGCTCAGGTTTCCTCCTCTGGAAGTTTTTATATGTTAGCTTTAGGTGTTGTGGTTTTGGTTTTGATTGATCTCTTTTATGTTGTTGTTATAGGGACCTGATGGTGCAATAAGTGCATCAAAGTATTGCTACCTTGGAGGTTTTGATGCAACAAGGTATGTCTTAAGTCTTACTACTAGTGTTTTGTTTTGTTTATAAAAAAGGAGAAATTCTAGTTTTACCACAAATTTGATACCATTTTTCAAATTTGCCTTAAATTTGTGATGAAAAATACTAAACTAATTCTCATAAATCATTTGTAAATGTTTTTTGGTCAAAGAAATCATTTATAAATGTTTTAAGAATTATTTATAGAACTTTATAAACCTAATCAACCCCTAAATACTAAATCCTAATCACTAAATTCTAAATCCAAATGTTAATGTATTTTTGAAATTTTTAATGTTATTTCAAGTAATTGTTCAAAAAGGAAACAGAAAAATAATGATTTGGTTGTTTTCTTGTTATGGCAGCAATGTTGCAGCGGGGAAATTATTTGGAATACCTCTCCGTGGTACACATTCCCATGCTTTTGTTAGCTCATTCATGGTAAGCCAACTCTTTAACACTAGCAGGATTATAAGCTTTTATCATTTACATTTGTAATTTTGCAGAGCCTTGATGAGATTGTGGACAAAGCTCTTCGAAGTTCTGATGGGAAAACCACGTGTGAAGATTTTGTCAATCTAGTCCAAACATGCCTAGCCAAGATTCAGGTTTGCTTATGAAGTGTAGTATTTGTTTTTAGTTTGATTCATTTCTTTATAAATCTTTTCTTGTTGGTTGTATGAATAGAACTCATCTTCAGTGTCTGGGATCTTTTCTGAGACAAACAAAAGCGAGCTTGCAGCTTTCACATCCTATGCACTGGCTTTCCCCAGCGCCTTTCTTGCTCTTGTGGATACTTATGATGTGAGTGTTAACATTCTTTACCTTCTCGTCTGTAATAACCAATGTTCAAGAAATCTCTAGGCGATAAATTAGGTGTTTAATGAATATTGATGTATATATTCTAGTTTAATTTTGTGTCTAATTGTAAAATTATTCTGATGAGTTATAAAAATTAGATATACAAAAAAAAGAAACCAAAATTTTTTAGAATATTGGTGATAACATTTCTCTTTTAACTACTTTACAGGTGATGAAGAGTGGCATTCCTAACTTCTGTGCAGTTGCTTTAGCACTTAATGAACTGGGGTGTGTTATAGAATTTCCATTGATACTCTTGTCTTTTTTACTTAGAGCCAATGCAACTTTTTGTTTAAAGATTCATGGCTGTTAATGCAGATACAAAGCAGTAGGTATCAGATTGGATTCAGGTGACTTAGCTTACCTCTCTACTGAAGCAAGAAAGTTCTTTTGTGGCATAGAGAGAGAGCTTAATGTGCCTGACTTTGGGAAGATGATTATTACCGCTAGTAATGATCTAAATGAAGAGACAGTTGATGCTCTAAACAAACAGGTAACTCTCTCACTCACCTTTAACTTTATGACATTTTGTTCTCATTAGGCTTCACTTTGATGGAATGTAACTTTTAGGGTCATGAGGTAGATGCCTTTGGAATTGGAACCAACTTAGTCACTTGCTATTCACAAGCTGCTTTAGGTTGTGTTTTCAAACTTGTGGAGATCAATGGCCAGCCTCGGATCAAACTTTCTGAAGATGTTACTAAGGTTTGAATTCTGGATTGAGATGTTGCTTTGAACTTAAAAGTATATAAACCTTTGCTTCTTCTTTTCATTTGTCTTTCAGGTATCTATACCATGTAAGAAGCGTACTTACAGATTATTTGGTAAAGAGGGTTACCCTCTAGTTGATATTATGACAGGAGAAAACGAACCACCACCAAAGGTAAAAGCAGAGGCATTAGAGTTCTTGAAAGATTGTTGTGTTAGTCTTTTAATCTTTTTCTGTAATTTCAAGGTTGGTGAAAGGTTACTTTGCCGTCATCCATTCAATGAATCAAAAAGAGCTTATGTGGTGCCACAACGTGTGGAAGAGCTTCTTAAATGTTATTGGCGTGGAAATGCAGGTTACAACACAGTTCTTAATTTTTTTCTTACAAAAGGCTTATGTCTGATTATGTTGTTTTTTATGAAGATGAAGCTAGGGAAGAGCTGGAGCCATTGAAAGAGATAAGAAACCGTTGCATTAAACAGCTTGAGAACATGAGACCTGATCATATGAGGAGATTAAACCCTACTCCTTATAAGGTACTTACAATATATCAAACAAACACCGTGAGAGAACCTGTTTTGTGTTCACAGAGAGTTCTAAGAGAGAGAGAAAAAAACTTAATTGGTTACTTAAAACTTTTACAGGTTAGTGTGAGCGCCAAGTTGTATGACTTCATCCACTTCCTCTGGCTCAACGAAGCTCCTGTTGGTGAACTGCATTGAGATTTTTACAAACATAGTTTTGTATGCTTCTGTCTTTCTTATAATAAAATTTAAGATATAAACCATAGTATCAGCTTTTGCCACTTTGTGAGTTCTTGATCTCACTCTTTACAACATTATCTATAAAAAAAAACTTGTATTCACCAACATTCCTCAGAATAAGATTCAGAAGATTCTATCTATTTTCTTTTCTTAAGTTTGTCAAGTTAATGCAACTAGTCCTTACCATCTGTTCACCAACATGTTAACTTCAAAGGAAGTCCACCTACAAGTCTTGTAACTTAACAAGCTAGCTTCATGAAACCATCCTTAGGGTTCTTTTGACCAGAACCATAGATGCAAAAGATTTGATATGGAAAATCCATGTATATATGGCTTATCTCTTTTACTTCTAAATTTTTAGATCTAGTGTTGTGATGATATCCAACTCGGAAGACTTTTCTGACTTTTAGAAAGCTTATCACTTAGGAAAATCCACTATGTATACATATGGTTGACATCCCTTTTGCATCTAAATTTTTTAGAACTAGTCTTGTGATGATAATCCGACTTTGAAAACCAAATCAGCAAATTTCTTTCCTTATGACTACTAATTGTACTAACTAATCAACATCATCAAGTATGACTAGACCTTTCAAACTTGTTGGTTTAGTTATAGGAGTCGGATTATCATCACAACACAAGATCAAAAAAATTTGAAAAGCAAATGGGATCAACCATATATACAAAGTGAATTTTCCTATGCTCCTGAACTCCTTGAGAACGTAGCTGAGAAAGTCTTTGTAGACATCTGCCCCCTGGAAGCTTGGGGAAGCCATTATTTTGTTTTCTAGATGGGATCTGGATTTTTATTTTGTAGAAAAAAAACAAGAAAAGAGTGTACCCCGAAACCGTGAGGAAGTTTATTGCCGCAACAACAACATTAGTAAGGGCAATCCATTAGAATAATGAAGAGAGGACCAAGATAGCAAAGGCTTTTTAGAGAGGATGAAGTAGTAACAATGAGTCTTTGTGTATGTACCAAGTACTAACACATAACGTTGATTAAAATAAGCAAGCAAGAAAGCTTGGTGGATACAGATGTACCACTTTTCCACGAGAAAGTTGTGGCCAACAATATCATTGGGCCTACCTATATTGAATAAGTTACTTTGTCGTGTCATCTGTTCAGTGAATCCAATGAGCTTATGTGGTACCACCACA